TTTATTTTTTTATTAAAAATTAAATATGTCAAAATATTTTTATATATAATTAAATAAAAAATATTTTTATATTTTCATAAGATTTTTTTATATATTTTATTATAAATTATACAAATAAAATAATTCTCTTTTATTTTCAAATTTTTCTCCCTGATTAAAAATTTTAATCTTAAATTTTAATCTTAAATTTTAATCATTGAGGATATATTTTCACATGATTTCCCATACACAAAAGGTCCCTTATTCTCTGCAGGATGGGAAATGGAAGATACTTTTTGTTATTCGTCAAAAATCACGTAGGATCTCCTTACCCATCAATGACAGGGACGGGAATGGGAAGGATTCCTGGGCCTGCGGGTCTATTTCTATCCCTATTGCTGAGTTAACAGTCATTTCTAATTACTTACCTAGTGGAAGGATCAAGACTCAAGAAAATGCAATTTGCAGTTCTATGGCGCTCGAATTTAAATATTTTAATAAAAAATAAAATAATATATTTTATAAATTAAATTTATTATTGTATTAAAGATTTGATTAAACTAATCGTTATAAGTTAATTATCTTTTTTAAAGGTACATTATTCATAATAATTACTTAATTTATTATTATTATTAACCTACAAAAATAAGAGTCATATGACTATGAGTGTTATAAATAGAACATGTTTTTGTTCTTAACTAAAGAAGTTTCTCCACATTTCTACTTTTTTACCTTACTCTATTTTTAAAATATTTTTAGGTAAAAAATGGTGTTTTGAGTTAGGTAACTCTATGAATAGTATAAATTTATAGTGTTATTATAAAGTTGTAACATCTTAGGGGCAACATACTATATATATCTTTGCTGCACTAATCAATTTACACTCCGCAAAAGTGTGAATCACCTTAAAGTAAGTAAACTTTTCACACATATTTTGATGATACTTTCATATTGGTATTTTCTGATAAATTCATTAATTATTATTTTATTTGATTTGTAGCCGAGGTACAACAATGATATGATGTGGATATGGAGAAAAATGTTCAAGGAACAACAATTTTAAGGTGATTCAATTTTGTGCCTCCATATGAAAAATAAGTATATTTTGTTTGTCTAACTCTTTTTGGAATTGAAGGTATGTTTCCTTGAGATTAATCATATCTGAGAGATATTGAGATCACAAATGGGTACATATAGTATGTCTCTTTACCTCATCTATACATTTAACTATGCTTTGATTCACCAAATATTCTAAGCCCTCTTGCATGTAAACACCTATTAGAATATGTGGCCAAGTTTCTATTGTGGCCGGATTATCTGTGCTTCTCAACTTGATTGCTTACATGTATGATTATTATGTTTTAATACATGATCTTTTTGTTAAACACATTGTGGCATTTGATTACAATATGGCTTGACAGAACCAGAACCATAAGAATATGTAATTCTTGTGTATTTTATCAACCTCATGCAATGGCGGTTTCATACCATGATTATTATTAGCTACTCCATTAGTAATAATTATAATAAAAATATTGCTAAATGCTAATGGTTATATTTATAGGATTAATGAGCTAACCGTTTGTTATCATTGCATATAGTTAATATTTGGTTGACTTCCAATAGCCCAAAAAAAAAAAAAAAAAACAAAAAAGTGAATGAATACTTGTATTTAATTGACTATATTATTAAGTTTTTTGATGCAACAGGTGAAAGCTTTAAGAACCAAAGTGGAAAAAGCTAGAGAAGAGAGCTAGCCAATTTGGTCCATGCAATAAATTTTAAAAAATAGACATGAAATATGGGTTGATATATTCAAAAAATGTAGGTTAGATTTTTAAGTTTGCTTGACCAAGGAGCCATTTGTGGTGATAAAATGTGAAATGAGCTACTGTTCTTATGAAATCCTGTGAGAAAAATGAGTTTTTCATGAACTCAATTATTTGAGAAATGTGTAATTACATATTTGAGATGCTCCTAATGTGAGGGATTGTAATGTCCCTATGTATAATTATTGGTGATGAGACCAATGGTGCATAATTGAAAATTTGCATAGTATTCCTATCATACAATAAAGTATAATGGTGTTTAACAAAGCAAATATATACACTCCTATTATACAATTATGGTATAATGGTGTATGATGAAAAAGAATAAGACACCTTCCTTGAATAGAAGGGATATGCTATGATAGACATTCTTATTGTACGACAAAGTACAATGGTGTTCAAGTTAAAAAATTCTTAAATACATGTCGAAACACGTATAGAAAGAAAATTGTGGTTCACTAGCTCGATTTAACATCAAAATTGGGGTACCATGATTTGAGAAATTGAGAAATATGAATGTAAATTTTATGAGCTAGAAGACATGTGGGATGTTGTCGAAAGAAAAGTGAAAAAGAATGAGTTAATTCTCTTCATTACCTACTATACCACCAACTAGGCCTTTGGTAAAGAGAAATATTGGAGGAAAATCTATGATTATTGTCCAAGGTCTAGTGCTTATCGAGGGGAATGGGATTCAAGCCGACTAATGTAGAACTTCCCATGAGGGTACCCAACTAAAATTCTAAAAATTGGGTTTCGAGTGGGAAAAATGAATCATAGGGAAGTCATTGTTAAGAGATGCATCAATATTTAATGGAAAAATTTTCGGTCCCATTCCTAAGGTGATGATGCATCTATCCCATAACGAAATAAGGGTTGAGTTTTATACTCTTAGTGAAATTTGTAACTCATTGAATGGGTTGTTGTAGTTATGGGAGCTCCTTTGACAAATTTCACCTATGTAGGTGTTGAAGTGAAGCTGCTTCTATGAAAATTAAATAGGTAATTTTCTAGATCACTCATGGAAATTGGGATCATATGTAAGGCCATAATGCACCAGCTATGTGAAAAACTCAATATTCAGATCATTATGTGTGTGAGATGATTATTGTATATTCCAATGGAATCATAGTTCAAGATTTAGTTCACTATTAATTTTGGATTAATAATTGTTGACTCATTAAGTAAAGGTTCAAGGCTTAACTACCTTTATTATGCATAATCCATCTTTGCCCAAAAGAAATGTTTATTTTTTATTAAAATAGTGGGGGAATTGTTCGAACTTAAATATTTAAAAAAGTAATAAAATAATATATTTTATAAATTAAATTTATTGTCCTATTAAGGACTTGGTCAAACTAGTTGTTGTAGGTTAATTGTCCTATTTAAGAGCACATTATTTCATAATAATTGCCCAATTTATTACTATCATCAGCCTATAAATTGAAGTTATATGACCATAAGTCTTATAAATTTGACATGTCTTTTTCCTCAACTAAGGAAGTTCCTCTACATTTCCACTTTTTTACCTTAGTCTATCTTCAAAATATTTTTGGGTAAAGAAGGGTGTTTTGAGTTAAGTGACTCTATGAGTGGTGTAGATTGGTAGGGTGTTATTATAAAGTTGTAGCATCCTGAAGGGAACATACTATATACATCTTTGTTACATCAATCAATTTACACTTCGTAGAAGCGTGAATCATCTTCAAGTAAATAAATTTTCCACACCTAATTTGATGATAATTTCTTATTGATATTTTTCTAATAAATTCACTAATTATTAGTTTTTTTATTTGTGACCGAGGTACAACAATGATTTGATCTGGAGATGAAGAAAAATGTTCAAGGAACAACTTAGAGTTAATGGAATAAAAAATACTTAATATAGTTTTAAAATGTTAACCATGTAAGTAATTTAATTATAATTTTATTTTGATGAAAATAAAAGGATCTAAGTTATATGGTATATAAATATATTAAATTAAAATAAGTTTCTCTCATTTATAATCTTTGAGGGCAGAAAAAAAAATTTTATTTAGTTATAAAAAAAAATTTAGGGAAAGGAGAAGGGAAAATTTACTTTTATTATTTTTTCTTTTAATTTAATTATTTATCCAAATATAAAAAAAGAAGGAGAGGGGATTGGAAGCAAATAAAAACAAATAATTTCTCTTTCCTCCTTTCCCTCTCCCTCTATTCCTTTCAACCCAAATATAACGTAAGAAATGAGAGAAACTTATGTTTTATTATGTAGCTAAAAATAAAAAATTATATATAATGCAAAAATTAAAAATATTTAGTACGCAAGATTTAATAACTATAATTAGCATTTAACCTTCTTTTTTTTTTTTTTTTTTTTTTTTTTT